AAATGAAGCAGCGGGTACCGCGAACTATTTTCAAGATATATTTTTTTTTGTTAAGGTGTTAGCTAACTGTAACGTTCAAATTTTTGATTTCTTGAAATAATCAGAAATTTTATTATTTTGAATTATATTTGTGCATTAAACCTAATATTATCAATCTAACTCTAACCCTAAATCCAAATGTTGTGGCATTTGTGCAGTAAGAGATTAATCAGTTTCAGAATCAGTCAACAGTAATAATTTGAAATGATAAGCTCACAGTAAATCATAGTTGGTATTTTGAAAGCCTTATATCTATTTACACAAATACACTAACAAGTACATGTATATTGTTACTTGATCAGTATTCGTGTAATTTTTAGGGAATGATTTCTTCTTTCAACTGAAGGTCCAAGTGCTTTTGAAGAAGAGATTCGTAAAAGGGAAGGTTACACTGCCCCTCTACCCAAGCGCAGTAAGAAAGGAGACCTCATCTTTGCTGATTCTCCCGACATCCGTCCCAACATGACACCCTCAGAGGTGCTTCAAGCCGGTAGCTTTGGTGGGACCTACTTCCGGCCAATCAAATCTGGTGTCACAGGTGAGTGGATTCGTTTTACTCCCTCTTGGATATTGTAAATTCCTACATCAATTTTCCTTTTTGTTTTGTAAGGATACAGGATTCCACAGAGGCAAGCATCCACTACTGTATCAATACTTCCTAAGACTGAGTCAGTATATGGACTTTTGACTTTTATTCAAATAATGAAATATATGAATATTTGATGTTCCATTCAATTTAGTGTTGTTTATACAAAATCCCGACAAAATCAGAAACAAAATATGCATGATTTGGTGGTAGTGGTCTGCCTCATGGCATTTCATGTGTCCGTCCCCTATCGAAAGGAGGAGGAAGTTCAGAGTTCTACTGATGTTTGGCCGTAGTTGGTGATCTTTTCCCTTAGTCCAGGCGAGACACCCCAAAAAGTTAAAAACTAAAAAGAAAAAGGAATTTTTGGTCCTCTTGTAAGGTTATGCATGAGCTGTCTTAACTTGTAACACTTGAGATGCTTTTTAGAAGTAAACAATGGATTTCATTTCCCATCTTTATTTCAATGAGTTTCAGCTCTCAAATAGGCCTCTTTGATTTCAAAACTAAACTTATTGAAATATTTGATAAATATTCAAACAATCTATTGAAACATTCATATTTTATTTAAACAATTATATATATTTGAATATTCATCACAGCCGCATTACTTCACATTTCGATCGTTGACCTTTTTTAGCCCCTAATCAGCCCCAGAAATCTGCCTGTCTCACTTGTGCATTTGTATCATCACAGTACATTTGAGTTATATCAAGCCTTCATGAAATTTTTTTTTACTAACGTGTATTATGACACATCTGCGGGAATATCAAACACACTAGTTATTGTTTTCCCACCGGTTATGCAAACTGGAAGTGTTCATTACATTTTTGAAATAGAAACAAGATAAATGTTGACTGAACTATACAAAGGCACTCAGCTTACCAGATTTTAGTCAAATCTGTCATATGTCTAACATCAATAGGGAGCAAAGGATGAAGAAACAGCACTTAAAAGTTGAAATCATCCCCAATTTAACACCCCAGCTCAATGTACATGTACTTGTAAAAGTAAGCAAATTCGTCCGGACAGAGAGCACTACCAGCATGCTAATAAACATGTACATGTAGCATATGCAGGTGAGACATGCACCAAATGTATCCCAGTAATTAAAGGGTTATTTTTCCGATCAGGTGAGAAGTATTCTGGAGTTTGGAAAGAGCTTCCCAAGGAGTGGCTACAAGGTCTCAACATTGGAAAACAGGTACAGACTGCTTTGCTACAACCTTTGTGAGTGAGACATTACCCACATTGTACTTTGGAATTCCAAAGTGTCTGCCAGCTATAAGGGTCAAAGTAATGGTTTTTCTTTTGCTTAAACCCCCATAAAATGCACCTGTTTCATGTACAGTCAATTCTCTGTTTAACAGGGTTACGTGGGCCTCAAAAGTTACTTTGTTGCAACCTGGCATTCATTATAAATGGAATTGAACATGAAAGGAAAACCATGAATTCTACAAACTGGGATTTTTCAATGACATTGTTCTTTACATCTATATTGGGAGTTGACTGTATTTTGATTATCCTAGGTTTTAATTTTTGTTTTGTTCTAAATTGAAAGGTATTTCGGGTTTTGGGGGGGCCTTTGATGTAGTGCTGAGTCAATTTGAATAATTCACTGATCAATTATTCAACCTTCAATTCGATCGAATATCTGAATATTTTGTCGTACCAACCAGCATGTTGTTGATGAAAAAACTGTATGTAAAATCAGTTGCAATAACGCACACAATAATATATTATCACCACTTTAATAGCTTCTCATGTCTTGGAATGTCTCTTGCCATGATTTAGTAAAATTTAAGAGACGAATATAACATCTTGTCCTGTTGAAAATTTCTATTGCTTTCAATTTTAATGAATAATTGACTTTCTGAATCATTGCAAGATTTCTGTCACTTTTCATTTGAATCTGCTTGAAACATGCCTCCATTGTGCAATTTTATTCCTCTTCATAATTTTCGTATTTGAATATTCAAATTCAGAAAATAATATTTGCATATTTGATAATTGATCAAATATTCAAATATTGGATATTTGGCAAGCCCCTCTTTGGCGATAAATGTCCATATTCAGGAACAAAATTGTGATGAGAAACGCTCAGTGTTGCAATGATTTATGCGTGAAAAAATTGTTTGAAACTTCTATATATTGATGTCATCTGTTTTCTTTCCTTTAGGGAGTATTTGTTGTACAAATACATGGTCATTGGCCAACGAGCAACACTTTTTCGGAAATGGTTTCAATGAGTATATTTGTGTGTTTACAATTTGAACAGAAAAACAAGCAAACTGTCCAAAGTCTACTCCCATGTGCGAAGGGCATCACAGCTACAGTTACAAAAAGCCTGTGCAATTGCCAATACCCTTAACCCCAAAAGGATATTCAAAAACTTTCATACGCTAAAGAAGAGCAAATGTTTACACTGGGCGCAGTAAAAGTGCATCTAAGAAAAATCATCTCATGAGCCCCTGAATTTTGCTCATCCCACCATCCGTTGCTCACCGTTGAAAATGAACGTTATTTTTGGGTAGATTTCCTCTTCTGTGTATGACGCTGAGGTGAACACATACAAGGTGAAGTGTGGGGGAAGCTTGGAGATGTGGGAGAGCAGTGGCTGGATGCACAAACAAGACCCCTATGGCTGGTTCCAGTGGTACTGTAGGTAAGGATTATTAGGGGGAGGTCAGACAGAGCCTAATTACTCTGTACCTGGATAGTGGATAGTGCTCTGTGATCAGTGTTGTACACCAGACCACGTAAGATGACCAAAGGACAACTCTAGTGGTCTGAATTCAAATCACAAGCTGTTAATTGCTATGCAGCTATGGAAGGATGAGCTGCGTCACCAATTATTTATTTTCAAAGGATCGGGTCTTACCTGTATCAGCCAAATCGCGAATCAGATGAAGGCCCTTTCTCACGATATGGTTTGTCCACTTTCCAAATGTGTAAACACTTGTGAGTAAGTTATAGTCAAGCCAAATAAAAACACCAATTTCTTTTGTTGTTTTATATGATTTTGTTGTTCCTGTGATAAGGCTCAAGCCTATGAGCTCAAGCCTATGAGCTCCAGCCAATGAGCTCAAGCCAC